TGATGCCGCTCTGGAGTAATGTTTTTGAAAGACTCAGCAGTCTGTCTCCTTATCCACTCAATCCTTTGTTCCTCCAACTGCTGGTGCTGAAGATGCTGATTCTGCATATTCTGCATGCTCATCGTCTGCTCTGCCAGTGCGCGCTGCTGCTGTTCTTGCAACTGTTGATACTGAGCTTCCTGCTGCTCCTTCAGCCTCGCGCACTCCGCCATCAGTTGTGTCTGAAGGAAGTTCGACTTGTTCTCAGCCTGGGCCGATCGTAGTAGTGCCTGATGTAACTCTTCTTGCCGATTGGCCTGCGCCGTAACCATATCCGCCAGTGCCTTCATTTGACTGATCGTGGCCATCACTTCCACACTGGGTCCCTCACCATGATGTCCATGCTCCATTCTTTGTGACGCTGGCGTGAAGCTCGAACCTGATGATGCATTTGCCCGGCGTGTACCACTCTCCCGTTCGTCCATCTTCCGATGTCGCATGTCATCCTCGTCCTCCATCAGGTAGTCCTCGTCCTCCTCTTCGAGCTCCTTCTTCAAGCCATTCTGTAATTCATAAGTGTGTTCCCTTTTTTGTCTCAGCTCCGTTTCATGATCTGCCAACTTCTTTTTCTCATTTTGATTTTTTCTTATCTGAACTCCAACTTCTCGATATCAATTTCCAGAAGTCTCCGTTGCTTGAAGCTTGGCTTCACAATGATCAGCATGTATTTCAGTACCTTGACCTCCGCCACCTGTGACGCACAACCTTGATCCGCTTCTCTCGCCGCCATGATCATCTTCAAGAGCTTGTTGGTCTTCTGGCTGGCATCTTTTTGTACTGTTGTATCTGTTGATTTCCTTCAGGTGGCATTACATATATCGAGTGCTCGTTTGCTTCATCCGCCTTGGCGATCGGTATGTCATCATGAATTGTCCGTAGCCGTCCGTCCCGATCACGATGCTGTTGATCGCGTGGTCTTGACTGGCTTCTACTCCCTCTTCTCGTCCATGGGGCCTTATCCCTCCATGTCTGCTGATCCCTGTGCGTGTAGTACTTCTGGTGTTGTCCGTTCTGCTGATTCCACGGCGCCATATTCTGGTGCTGGTCCTGGTGCTGCCTATTGCGCTGGTGCTGCTGCGCTGAGTGGTGCTGTTCCAGCACCTGCGCCGCGGAGCAGAGCTTCAGAAGCAGTCTTGCCTCCGCGCGCTGATGCCTGGCCCTCCTGTGCCAGGCTGGCTCGCCCGCGATGCGCGGCGTGGCGGAGCCTTCCGCGCGGCCTGGCTGGGGGCCAAGCGTCCGCGCAAGCCGCCTCCTGCTGGAGCGGCTCCAGGCGAGGCAGCCCACAGCGCCTGCGGCGCGCGGCTGCAGCAGCTGCCGATCGCAGCCGCCGCTGCGCGCGGCCACGAGGGGCAAGGGGCGGGCCGACGACACGACGGCTGGCCCCTCTCTCCTCAGCCCGTGGCTTCCTCCTCCTCCTCCTCCTCCTCCTCCTCCTCCTCCTCCTCCTCCTCCTCCTCCTCCTCCTCGTCATCCTCCTCATCCTCCTCATCCTCCTCCTTCTCCCGATTTCACGCTGCGCGAACTCAAGCCAATGCGCTGTAGCGTTAGCACCTCCTCCTCTTCCTCCTCCTCCTCCTCGTCCGTGTCCTCGTCCATATCCTCGTTCTCGTCCTCGTCCTCCTCCTCCTGCTTTTTTTCGTTGAACGGACTCTAGGTGCAAGCACTGTTGCTTTCTTCCGGTGGCAGGGACAAACAGGAAACCCGCCTAAGCGCCGAGCTAAGCGGCGCAGGAGGTGCAAAGGGAAGCGGAAGTGGAAAGCCCGCAAGCGCATAGAGTGTTAGATCTGCCGGCAAATCCACCTCCTCGTCCTCCTGCTCCAGCCCTCCCCCCCTACGGCGGCGGCGGCGGCTGGAGGCGCACGAACGCGCGCCGCGCTTTGCTTGCTTTTTCCTCCCGCGCTCTTTCCCTCCAGATTTCGGACGGACAAACGCGCCTGGACCGCAATGGCCCCTCGCGATCAGAGGGATCCTCCGCGCGGCGCCCGGCGGCTGGGGGGGAATAGATTCTACTCTAGCTCGTGAGTGCCTCCGATGTAAGAACGATGATGACCGAAAGAACTGTAGGGGTACGTCGCTGCTGTCCCGTGGGGCGTTTTCCATAGGTGTTCCGTGGGGCGTTTAGTGGAGTGTTTCGTGGGGTGTTTTCGTTGGATGTTTGTTGCGTTCGCCTGGTGTTTCGTCGGGTGTTTGCCAAAGGGTGTTTCGTGGGTGTTTCGCGTGGTGTTTTCTGTCGGGTGGTTTCTGTGGGGTGTTTTTCATGCCGTGTTTGTCTTGGGGTGTTTAGTGCATTGTTTCGTAGGGTGTTTTGCGTGGGGTGTTTTTTCCGGGTGTGTTTTGTGGGGTGTTTTGTGTGGTGTTCTTCGTGAGGTGTTTCGTGGGGTGTTTTTCGTAGAGGAGTGGTCCGTGGGTGTTTCGTGGGGTGTGTCGTTGGATTTCTTTGGCGGGGTGTTTCTTGTGTCGGTGTTTCCGGGGGTGTTTCGTGGCATGGTGTTCTTGGAGTGTTTCGGGGTATATGTGTGTTCGTCGGGTGTTGTTCGTGGGATGTTTCGTGGACTGTGTGTTCGTGGGGTGTTTCGTGGTGCGTTTCCCGTGGGGTGTCATGTGGGGTGTTTCCCGTTGGGTGATTTTCGTGCTCGCCAGAGGCTTCGTGGAGTGTCATCCGAAGGATGTCTCGTGAGTGTTTCGTGGGCGGCTCCTCATCCTTCCTCCCCTTCCTCCTCCTACTCCTCCAACTTGTCCTCGTCCTCGTCCTCGTCCTCATCCTCCTCTTCCTCCTTCCCCTCCCTCCTCCTCCTCATCCTCCCCCTTATCCCCTTCGCGTCCTCATCCTCATCAGCAGCATCCGCATCACCATGAGCAGCATCAGCATCATCACCATTATCAGCAGCATCATCATCAGCATCGTCATCAGCATCGTCATCAGCAGCATCAGCATCAACATCCTCATCATCATCCCCATCCGAATCCTCGACATCAACATCATCATCAGCATCAGCTTCAACGCCATCACGATGTCTTTTCAGGGGGCAGTTTCGTGCGTCATGTGGTGGTGTGTGTTCGCCAAGTGCTTCGTGGGGTGTGTTTCGTCGGGTGTTGTTCGCGGGGTGTGTCGTGGCATGGTGTTTGTGCGCTGTTTCGTAGGATGTGCTTCGTGGGGTGTCTCGTGGTGTTTGTGTCGTTGGGTGCGTGTCGTGGTGCTGTTCGTGGGGTATGATTCGCCGGGTGTTTCGTGGGGTGTGTTCCGTGGGGTGTTTTTCAATGGTCTGTTTCGTGGCGTGTTTTTCGTCGGGTGTTCCGTGCGGTGTGGTGCGTGGGGTGCGTTTCATGGGTGTTTTTCGGGTGATGCTTCGTGGTGTTGGTCGTGGCATGTTTTCGTGGTGGAATTCGTGGTGTTTGTCGTAGGAATGTTTCGTGGGTGTGTCGCGGGGCATGGTTCGCGGAATGTTTCGTGGGGTGTTTTTTTTTCCGTTGGGTGTTGTCCGTATTAGCTGGGTGTTTCGTGGAGTGTTTGTCTCGGGGTGTGTCGTGGGTGCTTCGTGGGGGGTTCGTGGGGGGTTGTTCGTGTAGTGCTTCGTGAGGTGTTTCGTGGGGCGTTTCCTGTGTGGTGTTTTCGTTGGATGTTTCGCGGGGTGTTTGGAGGTATGTGTTCCGTGTGTTGTTTCGTGGTGTGCGTGTGTGTGTGTGTGTCGTGGCGTGTGTTGTGGAATGTTTCGTAGGGTGTTTCGTGGGGTGCTTTTTCATCGGGTGTTTCGTGGGGTGTTTTCTGTCTAGCCGAATATTTCGTATGTGTGGTGTCGTGAAGTGGTTCGTGGGGTGGTCCCCGTGGGGTGTTTAACGGGGTCGTTTTCGTCACGTGCTCATTGGGGTGATTTCGTGGGTGTTTGGTGCGGTGCTTCGCGAGTGTATGTCGTGGTGCGTCCGTGAAGTGGTTCGTGGGGTGTCTTTCGTGGTGGAATGTGTTGGGGCGTTTGTTTTCGCAGAAGTGTTTCGTAGGTGTTACACGAGGCGATGTTCGAAAAATGTTTCGTGGGGTGGTTTCCGTTGGGTGATTGTTCGTGTTAGCTTTGTGTTTCGCGCGGGGGTGTCCGTGTTATCCGTGGCATGGTTTTAGTGTTGTGTGCCTCGCTGGGTGATTCGTGGAGACCGGGGTGTTCTGGGAGTCCCCTCGGGGGGACCAAGTCCTCTTGTTGCTTAAGATTGAAATGCGTGCCCTTTTGCCTGGGATTCCAACCGGACTTCTTGCGCACACGATTTCACAAGACTCCTCTTCTGAAGGCTTGAATCACATTCCTGTTGTTGCGGTGTTCAGTGAGATTCCTTCGTACAGGATTTCAATACAATTCTACGTGTAAAAGATTTCAATACAATTCCTGATGCGAAAGGTTTCACTAGGATCCCTTTTTGTTGCGGGTGTCAATACGGCTCTTGTTGTGAAGGATGTCAATACATGTCCTTGTCTAGAGGATTTCAAGAGGGGTTCGTGTTTTAGCGGAGTCCAATTGAGTTCCTGTTCAAAGGGAGTTGAATGGTATTCCTTTTGCGGGGGACTTCATTCGAATTGCTTTCGTACAGGATTTCAGTGGGAATTGTTTTGTGGAGGATTTCATTGTGATTCCCTTTGTGGTGTGGTGGGCCTCATCAGAATTCCACCCGAAAATATGCTCCCATCTCTTCAATGTGTTTGATCTGAAAGATATCGGATTTTCAAAATCTGAAGAATTGGCTTCGCTGAAGGACGAGGAAGAGGAGGAGGTGGAGGAGGAAGGGGAGGAGGGGGAGAGGGAAGGGGAGGAAAGGAGGAGGAAGAGGAGGAAGAGGAAGAGGAGGAGGAGAAGGAGGAAGAGGAGGAGGAGGAGGAGGAGGAGGGGGAAGGGGAGGACAGGAGGAGGAAGAAGAGGAGGAGGAGGGGGAGGAGGAAGAGGAGGAGGACAAGGAGGAGGAGGAAGGGCGCCCGCGCCGGCTCACCAGTGCCAGCCCCTCGACGGCGCGCCACGGGCGGGGAAGGGCAGCTCCCGCCGCGCGCCGGCGGGCCTGGTTTGCGCGGGGGGAGCGCGGGGCGAGGCGTCGTCGGGCGTCGTCTCCCCCCCCCCCCCCTGCCCTGCATATGAGACGCACAGGGGCACACGAATACTCCATGTCCTCCTTGGAGGCGCGCGTCCGGGGCGCGGCGATTCGATACTGATCCGACTCGGGACGATGTGCTGGCGATTCGATCCGCTCTAGATCGGATCCTACTTCGCGATCCGATCCAGCGCAGACCTGGCCATGAGCGCGCCGCCCATGTCTTGGAACCGCGAAGGGGGTCCGTCGCCGTCGATCGATCGCACTCCACTCAGGAGGGGCAAAAAGCACAGACACAATCAATCGTCGACTCCCGCGAAAATATGACGCGAACTCATGGCATACCCATCGTGTAGTATATTGTTTCCCGAGCGGTGTGGCCAGACAGCGCCCGCCACGACGCATGTACCAGAAGATCTCTCGGTGCGCGCGTCGCCCCTGGGGGGGCTACGCACACGTAGTATTAGTATGTTTTGGAGGCGCCAGTGCTTTGGTTGACCCAAAAGGGGGTCCAGCTGAAAGGGGGCGGTGCAATCGGTTTGTGGCACATGCATTGCAAATGTCTTGCTCCAGAGAATCGTATTGCGCTGTGCTTGCACCTGACGTACTGCACGCGAAAGCCCAACACTGCATTTGTGCAACGGCATGTATTGCACGTCCCAGCTCTATCGCAACGCCACAGATCGATTGCACCAAATCTATTGCACCCTTCTCTTTTCGCTGGAGCGCCTTGTGGGTAAACAGGACCTGTTCTTCCCTCCTGCCCTCCCTCCCCTCCCAGCCCTCCCTCCCCTCCCCTCCCCTGCCTCCCAGCCCTCCCTCCCCATCCCCTCCCTGCCTCCCCCCCCTAACAGGGGAATTGTCGACCCCTATCCCAGGCTTCGTTGGGTTTCCGAATGGACTCAAAATCTGGGGCCCAACCCCGGGACATACGAGGGGGGGGTGGGGGGCGTCCATCCTCGACAAGGGCGCGCCCGAATAGCCACACCAATGGGGTGTATCCCGAGGTTTCCCTCCTTTTCTGCGCGGCTCCACTTCTTCGTCGAAAACACTCGGGGGGAGGGGGGGGGAGAAAAATCGCCCGCGACTCCCCTTCCTCCCGCAACCCTCAGACGAGGCCAGGACGGGAACGAACTCGGACCAAAACAGGCAGGGGAGCTCTGAGATCCGGCGGCCCTGGAAGCTGTCCCAGGTGCCGCGGCCGCTCCGAGAGCGCTCCAGAGCGCTCCGCGAGAGCGTTCGGGAACTCGGAGTCCTAGGTCCTAGGCCCTCCTTCACATACCTCATCCCTCCCTTCCGAGGCACCTGCTGGGAGGTCTTCGCAAAAACGAGTCAGGGCTATCAGACTCGATTGAGGTACCATTGAGTGAGATTACTCCAGAATGAGCCCATGAAGAAGCCGGCTTGAGCCGCACTAGCCAAGTGGGGTCAAGCGGGATGTTACCAAATTAGGCCAGTCTCCGACCACGGATCTACCAGCGCAGATGCTGAATTCAACCTCTCAGGAATTGCAAATTGCAACCAAACCGCTCTCCCTCATCGCTGCCCCTCGCGGACCGGCTGCTCACCGCGCTGCAGGCACGGAGGGGGGCTGGGGCTCCGCCCGGTGGTCCAGAGAGCAGACCTGCTACACGGCTTCGAGGTCGCCAGGTGGGACGGCGTCCTGCTGCAGCTGCGCCAGGCTGGGCTCCGGTGGTCCGCGGCTGCCGCCTCCCTCGGCGAGGAGGGTGTGTGGGTGCGCGTTGGCCCGCTCGTGGGCCAGATCGCGCCCCTCCTCGCCGGTGTTGTAGGGCAAGGGGCAAGGGCGCCGGGCGGGCATCCACCTCTTCAGCGCGCTGGTCGGGGTGCTCACTGGCGCGTGCGGGGCAGCAGCCGCGACGGCGGCTGCACTCACGGGCCAGGGGTTCGGCCTCCCCATGGTTGCCGGCCAGGGCCCCGCCCGCGTCGGATCCGCCGCGCTGTGCAGTGCTGGGCTGCTGGCGAGCCCCGCGCGAGACTGGAAGGCGGTCGCGGCCGAACCGCGCGGATATCTCTGGCCGTTTCCCGAGACGCGGCTGTCGACGAGGGTGGCCGCCAGAGTTGCCCAGCGGAGATGGGCTGGACTGCTGGAGCTCTGAGGAGAATCACTGACAGGCACATGTTTACCACCACCACTACCATAATTAGGTAGGAGAGGAAAGAGGAGGAGGAGGAGGAGGACGAGGAGGAGGAGGAGAAGGACCTCCTCGTCCTCCCTTCTCCCCCGTGCTACAGATGGTAGTGGTGGTAGAAGATTTGCCCATTATGTAGTCCCCCGCGCGCGCGGGGTGGAGCGGGAATGGTTTTGCGAGCATCTGGGCGGCGGCCCACAGCAACCGTGCTCCCCCTGCGGCAGGCGTGGCTGGCGGACCTTCGGTGGGCCTCCTGGGGACAGACCCAGTGGCGGTTCCACCGCGCCTGGTGCTATGCGGGCGCGAAGCAGACCCAGACATGCGATCTTGACTGAGTCCCAACATTCCTGTGTTTACTTGGGTCCTCGTTTCGAAGAGACAGCGCCCTCGTCCCTCCCTGCTCCTGCTTCTCCTCTCACCTCATCCACCCTCATACCGTCCCTGTCTCTGCCCTTCGCACGTCCGCATCGTCATCGTGGTCATCATCGTCATAACCATCACCATCACCATCGGCATCCCGTTCCTGCGTTAGCCCTCCCGTGTCCATATCGGCGCACCCCTCACAATCTTCGTGGCTCCGAAAGGAGCTCCACCAAAGGCTCTAGTGGCAAGGTCCGCATGGCGGCTGTGCCTCATTTCAGCGCACCCGTCACGAGTGTCGTGACCTCATGAGAAGCTCCAGCTAAGGCCCAAATGCCAGGGTCCCCAAGGCGGCGGCATCATGTCGGCACACGCCTCACACGTTTCGTGTCCCCAGAGGGGGCTCCAGCTAAAGACCAAATGCCAAGGTCCGTTTGGTGATGATGCGTAATTTGGACACGCCCGCACACGTTTCGCGGCCCCATAGAGATATCCAGCTAAGGTACAAATGCCATGGTCCGCATGGCGGCGGTGCCTCATTTCGGCCTACTCGTTTCGTGGCCGCCACCAAAGCCCAAATGCCAGGGTCCGCATGGCGTCGGTGCCTCATATCGGCACACCCTCACAAGTTTAGTGGCCACATAGGAAGCTCCAGCTGCCCAAATGCCAGAGTCCGCATGGCGTCGGCGCCTTCTTCCAGCACACCCCTCACACGTCTCAAGCCCCAAGAAATCCAAACCGTTTCCCCGGGGTTGCGTTTGAATCACAAACCGTTTGTTCGACGATCCGGAGCCCAACCAGGGCACTGGGAGGCGGAAAACGACTAAGAATTGTCGGTCGTGATTTTTCACAATGCGAGCACGTCTTGGGATCTCAAGGCCTGGGGGGCGATCCAAGCAGAGGGCCTGGCCATGCAAGCTTTGTACCGAGATCTATTGCGTCTCGGACTTGTTCTGCGAAGGTGCGCCAACAGGAGGCCGAGGCGCAGTGGACAGGGACACAAAATCTAACCTCGAGGGGCCAGGTTCTCAACTTCATCCACCGCGCCTCGGGTGAATGGGCAAGGGGAGCCGAAACTCCAAGGTGCAGCGGATCTGGGCACAACTCTTGCCCGCCCGGGTCGGGGATCTGCTGCCCCGGGACAGTCAGATCCGGGTTAGCAAGGAACCAAAAAAGTGCAACTCCTCCTTCTCCTCCACCTCCTCCTCCTCATCCTCCTCCCTCCTCCTCCTCCCTCCTCCTCCTCCTCCTCCTCCTCCTCCTCCTCCTCCTCCTCCTCCTCCTCCTCCTCCTCCTCCTCCTCCTCCTCCTCCTCCTCCTCCTCCTCCTCCTCCTCCTCCTCCTCCTCCTCCTCCTCCTCCTCCTCCTCCTCCTCCTCCTCCTCCTCCTCCTCCTCCTCCTCCTCCTCCTCCTCCTCCTCCTCCTCCTCCTCCTCCTCCTCCTCCTCCTCCTCCTCCTCCTCCTCCTCCTCCTCCTCCTCCTCCTCCTCCTCCTCCTCCTCCTCCTCCTCCTCCTCCTCCTCCTCCTCCTCCTCCTCCTCCTCCTCCTCCTCCTCCTCCTCCTCCTCCTCCTCCTCCTCCTCCTCCTCCTCCTCCTCCTCCTCCTCCTCCTCCTCCTCCTCCTCCTCCTCCTCCTCCTCCTCCTCCTCCTCCTCATCCTCCTCCTCCTCCTCCTCCTCCGCGAACCCCGGTCCGCACATCTGCGCGGCCGCCCCGCGGCCGCGGGCGGCTCGCTGACCAGAGGTCTGGCGTGGAGGAGGTCTCCGCGGGATCCTGCGGGATCCAGTACCCTGGCCGACTCCCGTTTGGGCGGACCCCCGCCTCTTGAGCTCCAATTGATCTGGAGGTCGGACAGGGATGTGGCATTAAAGGGTACGGTGCCAATCGTGGAAATGGCGATGCCATCTGCGATAGGTAGCATGGCCAGAGGCCCCTTTCTACCATTCCCCTTTTCCTACCTCCAGAATTAACGTGAAGTCGGGCCTGTCCCCTTACAGGGAGATTTTCGACGAAAAATACAAAATACCTCAATCAGAATCCAAAAATAATCCAAAAATGGTCTGGGGACTATTTCTTCATATTTTTAAACCATTTTGGGGCATTTTTGGAGGGTATCTTCATTTTTCGGCGAAAATCCCCCTGTAGGGGGACAGGCCCGACCTAAAATCAACGCCCTGCGGTCGCGTCCACCCCCCGGGCCTCGCGGACCCGGGCGCGCTGTGCAGCCGCGCGTCGGGCTGCGGCGCCTGCTTGCCCGGCAGCTGGGCCGGGCCGCCTGCGGCGCGCCATGGGCGCGGCGGCGGCGGCGGCGAGGGCGGCGGCGGCGCCGGCGCCGGCCAGGAGGGGCCCGCCGCACGCACCGCGCCGTCGTCGGCCAGGGCGCTCGGTGTGCATTTGAAGGGGCCCCAGGACACACAAACAAATACGCACGAATAAAAATACTCCCCATATCTTCCCATATGTTCTGGGTTTGGGTCTTCCCCCCACTTCCCATCTTTTCCCATGTTTTCTGGGGATTGACAATGAATTGTGTCTGTGTGTTTTTGTTTCCCCTCCTGAGCATTGCGCGACAACGATGTCATGATGCGGTCAGCTCAGGGTGCGTTCCAATGTTTGTTTTGCGTCGGCGGCTGGGCTGAGGGTGACTGCGCTGGCGATGAGAGGCCTGAACGGGGATGCCGTCAGAGCGAAGTGTGTCACCGCGCAAGAGGAGGAGGGAGGAAGGGCGCGGCCGAAGGAAGGCAGAGACGGGACGGGCGGCTAAAGGGTCAGAACGCTCCCCGAAGGTGCGTTCCAAATCTTCAAGCATGCCGTGTTTGTGGACACCGACCGTGCGGGGCAGATCGGAGACCGCGGAGGCGTGATATCCTTTGGAAATTCTTGGACGTATCACTATCAAGGCTGATCACCCCTCTGAGCATAGGCGCCGCAGGGGCCCTGTATACCACGAGGGGGAGAACCGAGGTTTCAACACTGTTTCCCAACCATCCTGTGCGGGCCCCCGCTTTGATTCCGCGGCGCCCCGCGACACTCGGTTCTCATCCCTCCCCCCGCCTCTCCCTCCTCTGGTTCCTGCTTCTGTCCTTCGAGTGTCCTCGTCGCCATCATCGGGATCGTCATCATCACCAACATCGTCATCGTAATCATCACCAGCACCAGCGGCATTATTGCCTTCATCACCATCATCATCCTCACCATCAGCATCACCATCAGCATCATCATCACCATAATCATCACCATCAACATCATCATCAGCATCATCATCATCAACATCTTCATCATCATTAGCGCCATCATCATCACCATCAGTATCATCAGCATCATCATCATCATCATCAGCATCATCATCATCATCATCATCATCATCATCATCATCATCATCATCATCATCAGCAGCATCCTCATCATCATCACCATCATCATCCATTGCCATCATCAGCAGCAGCACTTAAATCAGCATCGCCACCACCACCACCACCACCATCATCATCATCATCATGATCAGCATCATCATCATCAGTATCATCATCATCATCAGCAGCATCAGCATGGGCGGGGCAACATCATCCGATTCAACTCCCGTGCCACCGCAATACCCGCGAAAGGTTTTAGCAACCTTCTGTACAACACGGGCACTGTTCTATTGCGCGGGCTTGCGTATTGACGGACTGACGCCGAACACCAAACTGGGAGAATACTGCCCCTCCCTCGGCGGCCTCTGCTGAGGCCTCCGCTGGACTTCGCCTCCTCCTGCTGTTGCTCCTCCTCCTGCTCCTCCTCCTCCTCCTCCTCCTCCTCCTCCTCCTCCTCTTGCTCGACGTTCTCCTGTTTCTCCGCCTTGTCCTCCTGCCTCTCCTTCTTCTCCTCCTCCTCCTCGTCCTCCTCCTCCATCTCCTCCTCCTCCTCCTCCTCCTCTTCCTTGTCCTCCTCTTTCTCTTCCTCCTCCTTCTCTTCCTCCTCCTTCTCTTCCTCCTCCTCCTACTCCTCATCCTCATCCTCAACCTCTTCCTCCCCCTCCTCCTCCGCCTCCTCCCTCCTCCTCATCCTCCTCCCCCGCCCATCATCATCATCCTCGTCCTCCACGTCCGCCCATCATCATCCTAATTCCAACGGGAAGGGCGAGGAGGGGGAGGACACATTATCTCTCCACCTAGTTTTTTGTTTCGGGGGTGGGGGGTGGGGCAGCATAAAGGAAACTGCAAGGTTATCCTTGAGGTTATCCTTGCCATCCTGTCACACGCTTCGCGTTTCCTTGGGGGGGTCCACTGAAGGCCCCAATAGCGGTGGCCGCGTGATCACTAGCTTTTCATGTCGGCGCACGCGTCACACGTCTAGTTGCCCCGCAAGGCGTTCCAAAGAAAACCCCCGCGGGAAATCAGCCATGCCACCGCCGCAGCAATTCCAACAGACCCCTCACCATTCCCGCGGCCCCGTAGGGAACTCCATCGAACATCCAAGTTGGGACGGCCCGCCTGCCACCACCGCGCCCTTGTCGGTTGACCACCCACACGCTCCGTGGCCCCGTACAGAGCCCCACCGAAGGCCCCAGTGGGAAGGCCCGCGTGCCTCCGCCGCGCCCATTTCGGTGTATCCCTCACACGTGTCGTGGCCCCGTATGGACCTGCACCAACATACCCCACCAGGAGAGCCCGCGCGGCACAACCGCGCCCATTTCGGCGCGCCCCACGCACGGTTCGTGGCCCCGTACGGAGCCCCACCGAAGACCCCGATGAAAGGACCCGCGCACCGCCGCCGCAGCCGTGCCGGCACGCCCCCCGCGACTCGAGAGAGAGAGCCCCGCCGAGACCTCGGCGGGAGGGCCCGCACGCCGCCGCCGCCGCACCGACCTCGGCACGCCCCTCACAAGAGCCCCGCGGCCCCCGCGCGGGGCTCCGCCGCGAAGGCCCCGGCGGGAGGGCCCGCGCGCCGCCTCCGCGCCCACCTTCGCCACGCGCACCTCACGAGCGTCGTGGCCCCGTGCGGGGCCCCCCGCCGCGGCTCCCGCGTGCGCCGCGGCCCCATGAGAGAGAGCGCGCCGCTGCGTGCCCCAACGGGAGGGGGGGGTCCCGGACTTCCCCCTTTCGGCGGTGGACGAACCTCCCTTTAGTAGGCCTCCCCTCGCCCACTCCGCCACACGCACCTCACAGGCTTCGCTTCGTGGACCCGTACGGGGCCCCCGCCGCGGCTCTCTCGCGCGCCGCGGCCCCATGAGAGAGAGCGCGCCGCTGGATGCCCAAACGGGAGGGGGGGGTCCCAGACCCCCCCCCCCTTTCGGCGGTGGACAAGCCTCCCTTTAGTAGGCCTCCCCTCAGTGAGAACAGCCTGGGACCGACACCGGCGGACCTGGACCCGCAAACATGACGGCCGCGACGCCCTCTCGCGAACCGAAAACGGCCAAGTCCTTAGTCGTCGTGTCAGGGTAGGAGGTCTGTCCACCCCCGACCCTTGCCCCTTTGTCCGTCGTCCGAAGGCAGCCGGCGCACCATCTGCGCAGCAGCCGCGCGTTGGCAGCCGGAAGAAATTGTTATGACATTGGGCACGGGACAACCATTTACAACGGCGACGGCACGTCCAGACACAAGCTGGCCGGTGGGGGCCGCCGCCCATAATGGCGGTCTCGTGAAGGCAACGACAACACGATATCGAAACAGAAGCCGCACGGCCAGACGACGCCAGTGCGCGTTGCGGAGCCTCCGGGGCGACGGGGGGAAATCCCCCGTCCGCCGTCCCAGGAACGCCCCCCTCCCTTCGAGCCCCAGGCCGCGGGCCTGGCCGCTCGGGGGCGGGCTTCTCGGGTGCTTCCCAGAGGTAGCCATCTCAGACGGGAGCGGGATCTGCCTGCATGCGCATCGCCACCACCATCGTTATGGGGGGGGGAGTAGCGCCTCCACTTTGTCGTCGTCGTCGAAGTCTTGCACGTCCACGACGCGAAAACGTCGGTGAACCCAATGCGACCTGTGAGGACACCGAGTCGGCCCATGCTGGCCCCAAGGCGGCCAAGGATGGCCCGCATACCAGAGGATGGCCT